CAAACAGTATCAGCATCAGATGACCATTTCCTATTCATTTTTCGAGTTGGATTATACTTGCACAAATTCGACACAAACTTATCCATAGCTTTCTTCATTGAGTTCACAATGTACGAGGATGAGATGAGTTCCACAATAATTTATCAAAATCTGAACGCATAACAGGATATTACAATTGTAAAGCTACTCAAGAGCTCACTCAGCCATAAGACTGAAACATTAACCCCCTCTCCCCCACCCCCCTCCCCCCCCCCCCCAAAAAAAAGGAAAACTTACACGGCAGTTGCTGGGTATGAACCTTATAATCAACTGGTTGCCGGAAGAAAGACCCTGATAAGTTCCTTCACAATCACTCTTTTCCGACAAGTAGGGCATTTACTCTGGGTAGCTAGTGCAGTCTTAATGCAACCTTTGCAGAAAATGTGCCCACACCTTGTCGACATCTCCTCTGTTAATGGACCCATGCAAATTGGACAAGTGAATGTTGGCTCCTTCAGAGTTGGGGCTGGAGGTTTAACAATCTCTTTCTGCCAGTTAAACAATTAGAAGTCCTATAACTTACACATTTAAGCTCAATAATAAAAACAAAACAAACAAAAAAGATACACCCACCCGCAAAGCTAATAATTTGAGTCTAGCAACTATTCACAATTTAGTGAATATTCATACACCATTATTTAATAACAAAGGAAATGACATATCATTTGGAAAAAGCAAACATAAAGGAAGAGAGCATCTATTACCACTGAGTTATCACCGCTTTCCAAATTAACGTAATGATCACAATTAATTACAGGTTGGTTTGGAGGAATTCTTATGCGCCTGCTACGGTTATTATTAGGCAACCCAGCCACTCGCCCTGCAATGATCAGAGCTCAGTTAGACAGCTCTGAGGTGCGATCAATTTGTCAATGCAGAAGGTATGACAAAGATCAAAACCAGGTACAAGAGATATCATTTGCACAATATAGTTTTTTTAATTTACTTTCCCCTGATTTTCTTATAAAGCATTTGATGACTTACCTGCCTAGAACAGCAATTAGAAAGCAGGTACTGTTCATTAATTTTTTAGTTTCTCTAAGATTTAGATTTGGATTGTTATGAAATTGTCCAAAGCTAGTTTATTTTCTTTCCAGCTGGACGCTTTCTTCTTTTGACTATCAAATAAGAAAAAGGAGAAAAGAAAACACATGATTGTCACATGATGTGATATGACAAGCTTTCAGAGGCAGTAATTTGATATAACAATTGGGCATTGTTCTTATCCTCTCATATCCAGAAATGTCAGAAGATTTTTTTTCTACAACTCAATGCATTACCTATTGTTCAGGAACAAGTAGTTAAAATGACCAAAACAAGGTAATCCACGAATATGGGATCCTTTCATTCTAGAAGCGACAGAATGATAAAAGATGAAGACTGCCAAAAAGAAGATAACAAAAAGATATGGAAACATATACGAGAATAGCCACAACATTACCAAAAGACATATACTAGGAACGATAACTGAAAATTCAATTACCCGAATCTAGATCAACTACAGTAGCTCTGCCACGATTCCTTCTGGCATTGCTTTTAGCCTAACATGAGAAGAAAAAAGTATCAAAAACTTAGCTCTGTCACAACTTAAGCAATCTAGAAAAAGAAAAATGATAATGAATGCTGATTTTACAGATAAAACCAATGCACATACTTCTGCAAAAGCCCTGGCAGATGATTCAATGACATCATCATCAAGAGCCTCAACATCAATTGCAGTTGGGGTTACGTGCTGCCCCTGTTCATTAGCTTGCACATGTTGTGTCCCGTGCAGATTTGATGTTCCCTCTACATCCCTGTTCTCAATTGGTGGTACATTCAAGTCTAGCACCACCTTCCTCCGCCGATAACCTCTCAATGGAGGCACCTTCACACCCTGAGTACTCATACTCGAATGTGAGTTAAGGGGTCACTGAACCCTGTCCCAATCTCAAGCTACATTCCATATGATTTGATCATTAACAGTCAGCTTTCACAGTTTCAAAAGTTAGCAAACAGAAGAACCAGCATGAACAACTAGTGCTCAAATGAACAAGGAACAGCTCTATACAGTTTCGATGCAAGTATTGTGAAAGCTTTGGTCTTCAACAGTAAAATTAATAAAAAAAGAGTTTAGTATTTAAGTACAAATTTTAACATTCAAAGAAAAAGTTCAAAAACAAACATGAGAATAACACATACTTGGATGTAACAATTTTCGTCGATAAGTTCATGCTTTCAAACCCTAAAAACGACAATATAACTGAAACTTTAAATTCACTTTATAGAAAGCTGTTTTTCTTGCTTGCTTAAGACTGTTTACGATTCCTACCAAAAACTAAGAAACAAATTGCAACAAAATTACCATCTTCTGAACCCGGCATATCAAACTCAAAGTAGAGATTAAGATTATAAAGTGATGATAAACTTGAGGAAAATTAATATTAAGCAAGGAAACAAAGTCGAATCAGAAACCCACACCGAATAGACAAGTAAGAAGACAAAAAAACAGTATTCTAGTAACAGAAACGAAATCAGCAAGAAGAACCGATCAATTTGAAGCCTACCCTAATTGATAAAAAAATAACAGAAATCCGATCGAACGTTAGATTTCAAGACGGAGGTTTTACCTTCAATCCGACACTTCGACGATCAAAACAGTTCAATTCCGCATCAAATTGAAAGCCTCTTCTGTTCCTGATACATAAAATTCAAAAGAGAGAGAGGAAAATGGAAAGCCTTTCAGTGAAAAATCTCTGTGTGTCTAGGGTTTTTAAATAGGCAAGATTTTATGACGAGAAGAAGCCAGAGAAGGGAAAAACACAGCCTTTGGGTATGGCAGCACGAAGGTCGGTGCGGCCAAGAAATTGTCCACGTGGCACGTCTTTGTTTGATTTCAACACGTGTACAGTGTTTACTGGATATACGCTCGTGATTTGACGCACGTGTGCCGTTGGACCTCTGGGAAGTCCCTTTGAAAGGTAATAAGTTCACATTTTCATCTTGATTATAAAAAAAATCATGTTTTTTTTTTAATCTGATTTTTATATATACATTTTTATTTTAAATATATGGTTAAATTATAATTTTAGTACTCAAGTTTGAACTCGATTTTAAATTTAATTTAATTTCTATTGCAAATTAGTCTCAGAATTGTTTAATATTTTTTAAAAAAACACCAATAATATCAATAATATTTTTAAAAAATAAAAGTTGAGACTTGTTTTACTTATGATATATATATATATATATAATTTGGTGATAATGTTACCACACAAGCCACATCATTCCCAAATATTGTAACATATTAAATCACATTACCAATTAATATTGCATAATCCTAAAAGTAATTTAATGCATGAATATATATTAACTATTTATACTAATATATGAATGTTATTATCTATTTAAGTCAATACTTTAATGACTATTAACAATTGCATAGTAAACTATATTAGTATAAACAGTTAATATATATACATGTATTAAATTAATTTTAGGAATATTCAAATATATATTAAACCACATTAGCATATTTATTTATACTAATACATGCATGTATGTTAACTATTTTTGGAATTGATTTAATAGATATGCATATGCACATACACAAACATATATATATATATATATATAAATACACATAAATATGAGTGGTTCCTACAAGCATATTGTTAAACACCTCTCAACCCATTTTGCAATTGTCCTAATTTGTTTTACCTCCTAAAGAGATTAAAACAATTAAAGAAAAGATCAAAATCTAGAAGGTCCTGTTTGATTGTTACTATCAACTCTAAAACAAGGAAGATTAGAGGCGATCAGGCATTATTACCCCCATCAGATTTAACAATCCACCTTTGAGAAATGCCAAAAGAGGTTGAAATAACCTGTGAAATTGATGGAAGATTGTGTTTTTTGGCAGAAGCATGTACCCAAAACTTTCAAGAATACACCCAAACAACTCCCAGGTCTGCCTCAGAGCTTTGTAACTATCAGATGAAGGGTAGGAAACAATTAGTGAAGAGATCAAAGCCAAGTATTTTGATGCAAGCAGATTTGATTTACAGGAGCATGTAGAAAATCCATTGAATGCCTCCCACCAACCACGAATCACCATTTTCTCAAGGTTTAAAGAGAATATAATGATCGTATGCAAACTTAAAAAGAAACAAAGCAAATTCATCAAGAAGTAATCTTGTTACCAATTTCATTAATCACAAGGGAAATTTAGGGGAAAAAAAAGATGTGAAGAGACTTTACCAGTTGGAGCATAAACCCATAGCAATCAGAATCCTGTCTTATCCTTTTGATTACAGAAGCTCCTCTCACCTCCAGGCCTTGTTTTCCCAAGCCTAACCAGAAAAATAAACACACACACAAAAAAAATAATAATAATAAATAAATCACTCTTTCGCTCCCAAAATGTCTGCTTTTCTCACTCAAGTCTTTGGAACCTGAATCCTCTCCTTTTGCTCTTACCTCGTGTTCTTTCTCTTAAAGCAGCAGCCATCTCCAGTATTAACATCTAGGAACTTTTTTCCAAAATTTTCTCCCCCTCTATCTGAAGAACCCTGGCTTCTTCATGTGCCGTTTCCTCCAACTTCAGCCGCTTCCTCCCTTCAGCTTCATTGCTGGCATTCATCGTGAAATTCTAGCACCTAATTCTTCTCCTCCTAGCGCATTCAGTTGTTGCAACAAACACTAAATTCTTGTTCGAGTTCGATTCTTGTGCTTCGCTTCTTCATCAAACGTCCATACATATTGCATTATCGAACTTCATTAGATTGTCGAGGGATCCTTGATATTGCGATTCACCTTTGTCTACGATTGTTAATCACGCAACTCTTTTCCCTGCCTCCTGGCTTCTAAAGCTTTCTGCGAGTCTCTCTTTTATATCATGAAGAGACTAGAGAATCTCTTTGAACTCTGATCAATAAAGTGAGCTGCCAGATTGAAGGCGCGAAAGTTTGGACCGAGTATATAACCTGGTGTATACCCCTAAAGGGCGGGAGAACTAAATCAAATGTCAGGGTATCGTGTACTGATGGCCTAATAAAAGCACTTGATTGACAAATGGACAGACTGGGGTTGAACAAGGCTTGGCCTGATGACAATAATGGATCGTACATGTTTGAGTTGGATAATATTACTAATTGGATGGATAAATTCAAATGAGAATTAGAGTTGATCTGTATATTAGCATTGTTGAAGCAAATTTCTTTTCTTTCTTTCTTTTTTGAAGACAGGCTGAGATTGAGATTTGAACGTAAATTTGAAGTGTTAAATTAGAAATAAAATCGTCGTGCTGTATAACGAGGAATGAGATATTTTTTTACATTGGCAAACAATTTGGAAGTGATTTTTATCGGAATAAATTGTTTTCGAATAAAGTCCATTTAAATCGATCTAATTTAAGCCTACCGGATTACAGAGTAAAAATAAAATCATAGTTCAACAATGAAGTACCTCTAACCGATCTGCCTACTTGGAAGTCAATTCCGAATCCCAATTTCATTGACAGCCAAGGAATCCAAGGATCGATTAATATACATGTCATGTAATCTAAACAGATGGCTTATTATGAAGGAATATCATACTTAAAAGTTCTACCGACAGGAAGAAGCAGCAATGAACACCAGATGTGTAAGAATAGAATAAACAGATCCATATCTCTCATATTTTCCAGCCAAATACAAAATACATTGTATACTAGAGATTGCAAAGAAATGTGAGAAAGAAAACATACAAGAGCAAAAGAAGATAAATAATATGAAGGACAGTTATTGTCATGACAAAAGGCACAAGTGGTTGATAATCAAAAGGGCTTTGAACTAGTTACTCTTGCCTTGAGATGGGAGAGTCATTTGAGGTATTTACATATTGCACTCGCTTTTATAATAATGCACAAAACCGAAGACCTCATTTTCTGCCCCAAAAAAAGCAGCAACTCTGAAAACATTGACACACAATTGATAAGACTCATGGAATTAGAACAAAAATAAAAAAGCTAAAAGACAAAAATATTCGGTCAGGAATATAAATTGATGACATACCTTGACACCATCAGTTTGAGGAGGCTGCCGGGCGTGTGAGTAAGGTGATTCATTTGGCATGCCTGGTACCCTTCCCCCAGAATTTCTCTCCTCCCGCACTTTGTTGAAAATATGTGTATAACCATCAGCTGATGCAGGGTTACTTTCATCCCACTCACCAAATTTTGGAACAGCAGCACCTTTATCAGGCTAAAATACCAGTAGCACATAAAGGACAAATTTTAAGCATGATTTTGAAGAATGCCTTTGTACTTCAGTAATACTAACAAGAGATGTCATGTAAAAGAAAATTAAGGCAATTACCTAGTGCTAGTTCCCAAGAGCAAAAAAAAAGAAGTTACAGAAACATTCAATGGCGTGAAAAGACTTTTCGAACATGTGTAGGCTGCCAATCAGAACAAATTCGATCTTTGGTAAAGGTATTTGGCCCCACCCCAACCAACCAAAAAGCATGAAATTTAAACACTTCATTGTTTTGTGTGTAGATGAATTTCCTAATGTGTGTGCAAGCACATGCTATTGCAAGTGAGATGCTTAATGCTTTAGAATTTTTCAAGCTGTTCCAGGTATTACTCTCAAAGTTATTATAAGATATGAAAATGGAACAATCTAGAGGAAGAAGTTTACACTGTTATCGCCCTTGGGTCTGAGTCGAGATCTTCCAGGAGTGCCATGGCTGTTTTCCTGTGAACCCCTTCCTTCCCATGAAGGGGATGAAACCCCACCTCCCCTCTGTGACCCTCGACTGTGGATGGAGTGGCGATCGCTCAAAGCTGTTTTCAGATCCAGCACTTGCTCTTGCATTTCTTTTATGGGCTTCACCAGAACTCGTTCCTCGTCCTCCTGCAGCTGCTCTGCGGTTTGCATTATCCAGACGTGCTGGAGACTCACCAAAAAACTTGAGCTCACCATCTTCCTTGCTCTTTTGGCGCTCTTGCATTTGTTTAGCTCCTACCCGTCCCACTGATTCCTCCTCAGGTTTGTCTTTAGAAGCATGATATCGAGCTGGAGGAGCATGATCAGAAAGTACGTCTGGGTTCTCTTCTGGGTCATTAGGATTTATCATCTTTTGTCCAGTTCGACCCTTCCGGGCCTTATCAAAGTAGGCCGTGTAAGGAACACTTCCTTCACTTTCCCAATTGCCAAATTTTGGTACATGAGAACGTTGCTGTGCAATAAAAAGAGCTTGTTTATAATTTGAAAACATGCCATCTATTGACAGAGTATCTTTAATCCATAGACACAATCCAATCCATCTCAAGTTTCATATTTGAAAAAACAGCAAAGATGATACCTCTTAACAAATGGAAGCACTATTTGGATGAGTCACAGTGGCCTTAAAATGAGCAGGAATAGAAACAAGAAACAAATACCTTATCAAAATACTCAAAATTCAGTTAGACAAGTTAAAAGATGTAACTAAGATAAGGATGAAAATTCACTATGCAAGCTTGACACTTAGCTCCAAACTATACTGCTTGTGGTAGATAACAATAGTCTGAATATGTTTCCTTATTTTCTTAGGTGTGTGGAAGGGAAAAGTCATAATAGGTAATTTAAGAAAAGAAAAAGAAAAAAGGAAATCACAAGGTTCATCAACAACAAAAAGGCACCTGTTGCAGTTGCTGTTAAGCAATTGATGGATGACTCAAAATATTAATGGATTCCTTCCCAGTAAACTGCATTGGCAGGCACAGATATCACAGAACCAGAAGCTTATATTTGGCCATTGCTTCCTAGTGAGGAAACTAAAACTCAGAGAAAGAGTACAAGATCATGTTAAGATAATTGCGTATATACACATTAAGTGGTGCCAATACATCTTTACTCTTTGTTTTCTGAAAATATTTGACAAATTCAGGATTCCTCAAAATGTTTTGGAACAAGAACCTCTCCAGAGCAAGTAGTTAATGGAGTAAACAGGTTCTGAACTTGATTCACTATGCAAGCTTGACACTTAGCTCCAAACTATACTGCTTGTGGTAGATAACAATAGTCTGAATATGTTTCCTTATTTTCTTAGGTGTGTGGAAGGGAAAAGTCATAATAGGTAATTTAAGAAAAGAAAAAGAAAAAAGGAAATCACAAGGTTCATCAACAACAAAAAGGCACCTGTTGCAGTTGCTGTTAAGCAATTGATGGATGACTCAAAATATTAATGGATTCCTTCCCAGTAAACTGCATTGGCAGGCACAGATATCACAGAACCAGAAGCTTATATTTGGCCATTGCTTCCTAGTGAGGAAACTAAAACTCAGAGAAAGAGTACAAGATCATGTTAAGATAATTGCGTATATACACATTAAGTGGTGCCAATACATCTTTACTCTTTGTTTTCTGAAAATATTTGACAAATTCAGGATTCCTCAAAATGTTTTGGAACAAGAACCTCTCCAGAGCAAGTAGTTAATGGAGTAAACAGGTTCTGAACTTGATTTTACTGTGTCGTAAGAGCGCTGAATCAACATCTGTCTTATCTCAGAGAAATTACTTCTCATGACTGAGTTACAGAAGTAGGTTGGTTGATGAAGAGGAAGAAGCCCCGTAGAAGGAATCGGGGGCACGAACCATTCGCACTGGTAAAATACTACTTACTAGATAGAAAGTGATCCGTTCAAAGAAGTCACGCAATCGACCAGAAGACAGTTGAAACATGAACGTTCGATACCATATTCATTGAACACAATTATACATCAAAATGTTTTACATCCTAGGTATAGACCTTAGAGATTAAGAGAACAAATGGCATATTTTAGATGCTTAAAAATTCAGAAAGAGCAACTCCATACATAAACCGAGTACATTGTCCAATACATACCATCAATCACTAGGACATAAATACAATACATTAACTAATACCAGCCAAGGCTTTAGTACATTTCTTAACCAATAAGTTGCTGTACTAGATTACCAGAATCTGAGAAAATTACGTTTGGGAGATTCTAGAGTTTTGATAAATGTAAACTGAAATACAGAAAATAGGGGCTGAGAAAGTACGGATTTTCCTATCCTTTATATTATAATTGTATCCACTAAAGATGAAGGAATTTGATTAAGTTCCACAGATGCTTTCCAAATTTAGAATGCTTTTGTCTTCAATCCACAAATAAGTAATTCAATGAATACACGAAGGCATAGAACAGTTTCTAATTTTTAATTTCTAAATAAATAAATGTTTACATAAAAAAATTGTATAGTAATATTTGTAGTATGTGGTATAAGTATAAAATTTAAAAAAAAAATTCTACGAACACGAAAAAGTTTTCTTTTTTATTATCATTTTCTAACTAGCATCTCATTTTCTAAATGTTGTTTTTATTTTCAAAGTACCAAATGTAGCTAAATTTCCAACTTAAAAGTTTCTACATTTGGTACATTCTTCAATTGAAAAATTCGATATTTTAACCTTCATCAAGTAAAATGACATTAAAATTTGTAATCTGGAAAAGCCCAGTTGTAATTATCTCTACATCAAAAAAAAAAAAAAAAAAAAAAAGGAAAGAAGAAGGCCATAACTGATGTTAAAGAGAACTGAATAAATATCAGTAGAATACAAATCTTGTTTTAGAAATTCATAACTCAAGAGAGAATATCATAATAAGTAACCGGGCATTTTCAATCTAAACGAAACAAATTAGAAAAACCCAGCATAGAAAAAAAAAATTACCCAAAGCTCAAATTTTGATTCTGCGAAACGATTCTCTTAAAAGAAGACAAAAACAGAAAACAAACTAAGGCATGCTTGCAAATTTGCAGATGAACAAGCTAAGAAACATGGAGAGTCCCACAATCTAGAATCTTTTTGTATAGATCATGAAGAGCTCAAAATACCGACATAGCCTAGCTTGTGTTGATCTCTTTGGAAACCCACAAAAAAAGATAAGATTCAAAATTCTCATCTTTATTTCTCTCCTACAGCTGTCTCAGTAACCAAACAGGGAAAAAAACAAGCTTGTAAACGAACTATAAACAAAACAATGGAGGAAAATGATTCCTTACTGCCATATTTATCTCCGCCAAACTTGAAAACGGAACCCAAAATTGGAAACAGCAGACCCTTCAACCAAATTCAAGTTTTGCGAATGATTACTATCAAAGGCCAAAGATCAGTCGAGAGAAAAAAATATCTTACGACCCAGCAAGAAATATAGAGAGAGCTAAGAAAGAGAAAGAGAGAAAGATGGGGAATTTAGAGAGAGGGAAGGACGGAGAGGAGTTTATCAACTATTGACCGGCGCCACCGGTAATATTTGACCGTTCTCTCTTCTCTGTAAAATAAAATCTCTGTTTCTTCTCAGTTTCAAATGCATCTCTCCTTGACTATACCGCAAAAGTCTTTAAAAAAAACTTCCTTGTGGAAGGCGTTTTGCTGCTTCCAGAGAGAGGGAGAGTGGAAGAAGTGGAAATGGTTGGAGGGGTGATAACAAGTCTTGGTCAAAACGCTGGTTGACTGGGTAAAATAACGCCGTTATAGTTACTGGCGGCTAACACGTCACGATCGCAAAGCTGTGTCTTTGTTTCCGCCTTTCTGTTTCTCCGGGCGTTAAAATGAAAAGGCTTGCGTTTGATATTTTCTGCTCGTAATTAAACGTTTTTTATTTGTATTAAAATTTTTTTACAATGTCAATGATTCCCATCTTTTGACTCGTTAAATCTGGGAATTTCAATTTCTTATTTCACCATGATGTTGTCGCTGATGAACGTATACATATACATATACATATATACATACATACATACATACATACATACTGCTAGTACGGAAGTTAGAGACATGTACATACATGCATATGTACATATATCTAAATTTCTCCTGCAGAATATTGGCCGGCTTGCCCTACTTACAACCTAATAAGCCTACTTGCCAACCACTACTTAATTTTATATATATGTATATATGTTGGTCATCAATCAAGCTCTTCCTCGAGATAATTAAATATAGAGGTAGTAAAAGAAAATAAAGTCAAGTTGTAAACACATATGTACGTGTGTATATATTGACATTTATTAATATATGTGATTTTGCATATTGTTTGTCAATAATTTGGGTAGTATAAATCTTTTATAAGATGGTAAAAAAATGATTTTCTAAACTAATTTTGACTGAAATTTAAATAATGTACATGAAATTTTCTTATAATTAAAAAAAAGTCAGATATATTTTTTCTTAATTATGTTGTATATATATCTTATATAACTTTTTTTTTTTTTTTAGGTTGTCAATTTGTAAAAGATTTGTACATTTCTAAAGTTAAATTCTTTAATTTTATGAAAATCAGTTTATTTTAAACATATTACAATGAATATGTTCTGCACTGTAATTAAGAATTAAATTGAATATTCTACAGTAAATTGATCAATAAAAGTCACGTTCAAATTAATTATACTTAATAATGGGTTTGTCGAATTGATTTTAAAAAATATAGAAGAGACAAGAAAAAAAATTATTTTAAAAAATGATTGCTCAAGTTGGGATCATGTGCACAGCGCAGTTGACCCATAGCAATAAATTAATTTAATTTAAGTTATATTAGAAAGTTACTCATAATTCTCTAATAAATAATAAAATATTAAAAGATTATAAATATAAAATTTTATTAAAAATATAAAAATTTTCATTTTATTAAATAAAATAATATATTGATGAAATTGTAATCATTAAATTAGATTTAATTTTAGTGAATTATTATATTTTTTTTAAGGTGAAATCAACATTATGTAACAATTAAATATAATTAACAACAATTCAATCTATTTTTTTTTTTTTCCCTCTAAAAACTCCAATGTTCTTAATCTACTACAATTAAAACCATGCAATAATTTTACGATGAAGCAAGACAAGTAAGTCTCATGACAATTGGACTGGTGGGTCTGAAGTGAATCCACATAAAACCCCACAATCACTTCAAAGAAAAAAAAAAAAAAAAAGGTCCAAAGTCTTCCCCAATCAAACAGAGCCATGGTCTGTGTCAACAGTCGACGGCAAAGATGCTAATTGGTCCAATTGGGTGGGTCTGGAAATGTTGAACTGGTCTCATGGCTTTTCAGTTTTCACGGATCAGGCTGGGTAGGCAACGTACTTGGTGGTTCCCTTTGGGTTAGTCCGGCCCAATCTGCCACACCGAGATGGTCTGAGCTTTTTTCTTTGGATCAGCCAGAGATGAGTGAATCTTGGACCCAATTCAACACCCAAGACACGATTATCTAATAAATTAAATTTTAATTTGTTATTTACTGATAGAACAGAAAAAAATTAAAATTTTAAGTAATTTAAATATAAATTAAGTAATTTAGCTCTTTTACTATCTTTACCTATTTATAATTTGATTGTATATATACACACACGTAAAGAAAGAATCTTGTTAAAAGAACAAATGGGTTTCTCCAGAAAAAAAAAAAAACTTTCTTCTTTTTCTGCTCAAGGATTAGTAAGCATATCTTTAGTTGCAAATCTTCATTTTTCTTTGGATAATATCTCCTGGTCTGAATTATGTGTTCTGGTTTTTTCTTTCCTTAAACTTAAACCCATTTTATGGAAAGATCATAGCCTCGGTGCCGTGGCTCTAGTTTTTTTTTTTTTTTTGTTTTCCTCCTTCAGTTTCTTGCGGTGTTAGCAACCGGGGCGATCCGCTTGTACTTGGTCAGTTTCATGTAAAAACAAAACGGGTTTTAACAAGAAAATGCTACTTTCTTTCACGTTTTCGTTCAATCCGCGGACCCATTAGCTTTGAAATCCTCTTTCTTGGAAGCTAAAAACCGCTCTTTGTGGTGAGTTCGCATTTTCTGCCCATGAAGATTGATACCCAGTAAAGGAAAATTAAGGGATTCTTTGGTCTTAGGTGGCTCTCTCTTTCGAAGCCGATATGATTCAGTTGCTGTTCTTGGCTCTTGCCGAGAGTGTTATAGCATTCCTCCTATTGGTAAAGATTGGTCCATTTAGGCAGCTGGTTATAAAGAATTTGGATTAGGTGAAGATGGGAAAAGGCCCAGCCACTGTAAAAACCATTGCTGGTACCATGTCTGTGATTCTCCTATCAAGTCTGATGAGCATTATCAAGATCCAGAACAACGATGCGAAGCTTGGTACTCTGTCACCCATGGATCAGGTTCTATGGAGAACCAGCTTGCTCGAGGCATCACTGATGAGTTGGATACAATTCCTACTTGGAAGGATAAATTCAAATGAGCATTAGAATTAACCTGTTCTTGGATAAATTATCATTGTTCATGGAATGAATTGTCACCTATGAAATCTTATTTCATAAAGTAAAATAACAATTTAATGTAATAAATACAATCATTTGTTACGTTATAATGTTTGACTATATAAATTTTACAAAATAATATAATCTAATTACATTTACAAAAATTATTTTAATATAATAAGAATATATAAATTATCATTGTACCACATGAACCCATCTTGTTCGCAATTTGAAAACCAAAACCAGTACAATCATAATCCGAATGAAATCCTTGTAGAAGCATGTTTGCACCAAATCCATACATAGTCCTGAGCTCCAACAGCTCCAACAGGCTCGTGATATGAGTCTAAGATGGTGTGTGGCTCTTGCAATGAGGTTTGGTAAAAGATCAGCAAGCTAATTTTGCAAAGATACATGAGATGTACAGAGCAGTCTTCCAATGAATTTGTTTGAAAAAGAATATCCATGTCAAGATGCATCATTTTAAGTACAGAGAGCTTGATTTGCACTCACATAAGTTGCTCCTATACGTATCTGTAATATGTGAGTTTTGGCAAAAAAAAAGAAGGCTTATTAGTAACAACCTAGTAGATGGAGTGATAACATAATGGTATTTTGCTTCTATGAGGAATGAGCAATGATCGTCTACTTCCTTGAGGTCCATCTAACCAAGTTTGAGGCAAGAATGACATAAAGAAACGAGCTGATCTCTCTGCATTTAAGCAATAACATAAAGTACATCACAGTAACTTTATCCCATTAATATATCACTCGGCATAAACATGCAACATTTTAAAAAAAAAGAATTTAGAAGTACCTCAAACTTTCTGCCTAGTTGGAATTCAACTCCAAATTCCAATTTCATTAACTACCAAGGAAACCAATGGTTGATTGATACTCATACGTATCATGTAGTCTAACCAGAAGTCTTACAGTGAATGAATATTATACCTACAGTTCTACTGACAGGAAGGAGCAATGAACACCAGATGTGTAAGAATACAATAAACAAATCCATACCTCTCATATTTTCCAGCCAAATACAAAATACATTATATATTAGAGATCGCAATGAAACATGAGAAAGAAAACATACAAGAACAAATGAAGAAAAATAATATGAAGGACAGTTTATTGTCAAAAGGCACAAGTGGTTCATAATTAAAAGGACTTTGAACTAGTTACTCTTGCCTTGAGATGGGAGAGCTGTTCGAGATCAGCACCCTTGTTCTGGATCTTGATAATGCTCATAAGACTTGATACGAGAATCAAAGACATAGTACCAGCAATGGTTTTTACAGTGGCCGGGACTCTCCCCATCTTCACCTGATCCAAACTCCTCATAACCAGCTCCCTAAATGGGCCAATCTTTACCAATAAAAGGAATGCTATAACACTCTCGGCAAGAAGAACCAAGAACAGCAACTGAATCGTTTCTGCTTCGAAGGAGATACTCACCTAAGACCAAAGAATACCTTTATTTTCCTTTGCCGGGTATCAATCTTCATGGCCAGCAAATGCGCACTCACCCACCAAGAAAGAGGGTTTCAAAGCTAATGGGTCCTCGGATTGAATGAAAACGTGAAAGAAAGTAGCATTTTCTTGTTAAAACCCGTTTTGTCTTCGCATGAAACTGAATAAGTACAAGCAGATCGTCCCGGTTGGTAACACCGCGAGAAACTGGAGGAGGAAAACAAAAGCTAAAGCAATGGCACCACGTCTACGATCTTTTCATAAAATGGGTTTAAATTTAAGGAAAGAAAAAACCAAAACAGATGATTCAGATGAGGAGATTTTTTATGTTATTGAGGGTAATGAAACTGAATGCCATTGTTCCAACTCAACCCAGAACTGGTAAGCAGTGTCGGCATAAAGTGTTCCACACTTGATGTTGGGTGACAATGTGTTCTGTATCCAAGTAATTACGATATCGTTACATTATAGCCAGTAATTCATGAGTGGATCACTAGAATTTGTCAGCATTTTCAGAATGACATCCATAAATCCTTGTTTATTTTTTATTTTT